AATTTAACTTATGTTTTGGCAATAAGACAGTAGAAAAATCACAAAAGAAAAGAAGGGACATAATCTCACATATAAAGAAACCACAACTATGTCAAAATACACTCTCGAAACCTTAACAGAAATTCAAAAGAAACACACAAAAAAAAGTCATACCAATACTCCATTAACTCTCTGCCAAAAAAAGCTAAAACTCTTCTTCCAAACTTCATAAAACTTGCATAGACACCAATACATAACCTTACAAAATACCCCTGTTCAAAACTTTATACCCAACCATCACAAATCACTCATACTACCAAAAAATGTACCTCAGTCAATTCACAATCGCCATATACATACGAAATCAAACAATACTCCGCAACATTCAACAACTCAACACAGAATTCACAACAACCAAATTTCAGAATCTATAAGAGTTCAATAAGAAGAAGAGATAGATTAGAACACGCATAATACGAATAAAATTCCATTTGTTCCAAACCTCAACGTTATACAAAAGCATTAGCATAAAGCAAGACAGAGCAGAACAAGTGGAAATAATAGCAAGTCCTCACCGTACATTTGCTTGAAAAACTCATCGGAGGGGCACCGATCTGGTACCTTTCTGAATCCAAATTATGCTTTACTTGTATCTTCAATCTATATGTTGTTGCATTCTTTAGAGATCGTGGGAGCAGAGAGGCCATTTTCGTTGTTCGGGCTAAGCGTTGAAGTAGGAGTTGTTAGGTCGAGAAACAGAGTTGTGGTTATTAGGCGATTAAGAAAACCAAGATGAGGAACAAGAGTGTAACATGGGTTTTGCCGATTGTTCTTGTTTCTGAATTTTGAAGCGAGATATAACAGTGGGATAACGATTAGAGATTCATTTTTTATAAGTTGTTTTCAGATGATTTGTTTGAGAAGAAAAATTTGAAGCATGGAATAGTGATGCGTTTGAGAGAGAGAGATAATCGTCAATATTGTTTTATTCTCCAGGAATTAACTTTTAATTTATTTTAATTGGGGATATTAAAAGATTAATAATGAGGACCAAATCCCCTTTCCAAGACAGCAGCGGCGGCTTGTCTTAAGGTCTACTAGGGTTTCTTCTTGTCCCTCCTAATCCATAACTCGGGTGGCCCATTGGGCCCGTTTGGATTAGCTTTTTCTAGTTACTTTCCTTTTAATTTAACTGAGTTGTAGATATAACAGAAAGTGTTAACAGTTTAATTGGCAAGGCATATTACCAACAATCTAAAGGTCCTGAGTTCAAGTCCTTGTGAGGTTCTTTTTTATTTTGTTTTAGCTTTAGTTTAGTAAACTTTAGAATTTTATGTGTTGTAGTATTATTTTAGTAACTTTAGGATTTTATTTCATTTAGATTTGACTTAGTAAATTTTAGAATTTTATTTGTTTTAGTTTTAATTTAGTAAACTTTAGAATTTTATTTTGTTTTAGTTTTATTTTAGTAACTTTAGGATTTTATTTTATTTAGATTTGACTTAGTAAACTTTAGGATTTTATTTTGTTTTAGTTTTATTTTAGTAACTTTAGGATTTTATTTTATTTAGATTTGACTTAGTAAACTTTAGAATTTTATTTTGTTTTAGTTTTATTTTAGTAACTTTAGGATTTTATTTCATTTAGATTTGACTGAGTAAACTTTAGAATTTTATTTTGTTTTAGTTTTATTTTAGTAACTTTAGGATTTGATTTCATTTAGATTTGACTTAGTAAACTTTAGAATTTTATTTTGTTTTAGTTTTATTTTAGTAACTTTAGGATTTTATTTCATTTAGATTTGACTTAGTAAATTTTAGAATTTTATTTGTTTTAGTTTTAATTTAGTAAACTTTAGAATTTTATTTGATTTTATTTAAGTTAACTTTAGAATTTTAGTTGTTAGTTTTAGTTTAGGGACTTTAGAACTTTATTTGATTTAGAATTAGTTTAATGAGTTTATAATTTTTATTTGATTTAGAATTAGTTTAATAAGTTTAGAATTTTAGTTGTTTAGAATTAGTTTAATATTCTTTTAGAATTTTATTTGATTTAGATTTAGTTTAGTAACTTTGGAATTTTTTTTGTTTTAGATTAGCAACCTTGGAATTTTTATTTAGTTTAGATTTAATTTACTAATTTTAAAATTTTTAATTTAGCTTAGATCTAATTTAGTAATTTTAGAACTATTTTTGCAACCTTAGAATTTGTAGTTAGTTTAGAATTTTTTTAGTAAGTAATCTTAAATTTTTAATTTAGTTTAAATAACTTCTTTAGATAATTAGTTACATTCTCTTTTATTTTATTTAAATATCTTTGTCATTTTAATTTCTCGATGCCTTTAGGTCATTAATCTGTTTCGTTATATTTATTTTCTTGTGAATTTTGATTGCTTATATTTTGATGTCTATTTTATTTTACTCGCTCGATTTAATCCAAGGGAAATGTTTTAACTTTGTTGACTTCATGTTATCAAACACATCTCATCCAATCGTGCGAATACCCTCATTCATCTTTTGTTTGTTTACTATTTTGTTAAACCTAAGATAATTTTCCCAAAAGATTCAATTTTTAAACTCACACCTTTTAAGTCAAAACTTCGACATTAGGTCGCTGTCTCTTCAAAATCTCATCCGCACCCATCTTTAGCCAAACAAACTATTTTAATCAAACAAACAATTTAAAAAAAAAACAGATATTTCAAAAGGTTCCTATAGGATACTATAGATACATTGGGTGCTAATACATTCCCCTTGTATAACCAACCCCCGAACTCTAGACCTCTTTTCAAAACGCCTTGTATTTTCATTACTTTTAAAAGTATTATTTTACATTGCATACTTTAGGGTTTTATTTCGCTCTTTTCCCTTTTCCCTTGGAAATAATAAAGCGCGGTGGCGACTCTTGCTTTTGTGAGACGAATTAATTAAGAATTCGATCTCCGATTTACCCCGCTACATTTTTTATCGCTACAGACTCAAAGTGAAAAAGTAAAAATAATTAAAAGGAAAAGACTTGATAAGAGAACTATATTAAAATGAAAAGTAAATTGTTTGGAATTCATAAATCGGAACTCATACATATATTTTCTAGAAATTACTCGCTTTTCATTTTGACACGGATATTTTGAGTTTCTATAGCAATGTAACAAATGCTGATCCCTAAAATTGAAAATAAATGTCGTTTATATAGAAATTTTAAAATAACTGTCTACAACGGTGTGTCATTGTTTTCAATCCATGCAAATTTTGTTCTGCAAGCTTCATCTTCGTGTCTACAATGCGTGTCATTGTTTTCAATCCATGCAAATTTTGTTCTGCAAGCTTCATCTTCGTGTCTACAATGCGTGTCCTTGTTTTCAATCCATGCAAATTTTATTCTGCAAGCTTCTCCGTGTCCTTGAAATTTTTTTCTGCATTGACTTTGAAAAAATGTTTGCCTTTATCCATTTTAAGTCTACTTAGACTATGCTTCAGATCAAAGAAACTCAAATTTTACTAAGTCTTTTAGGACTGCGTGACCTTGGTTTCTCTAATAAATTAGACCAAAATCATATACTTCTTATTTGGCCGTACAACGGGGAAATTTGTATTTACTGATCAATAAGTGAATGATCCTAAATTTTCTAGAAAATTAGTTTCCATAATGAATTTAAAATAAGGAATACACCTATTAAGTTAAGTGACCCTCACTCGGTTACTTAATCCAACGGTTGTGGAACCTACAAAAATATAATAAAACAATTTATCATCAGTTGGTTCAGAGGTGTCTGGTGCTGAACTTGGTAGGGCGGACTGGGGTCCGATCCCCCGCAACTGCAAATGGTTAAATAAAAGGAGTTACCAAGCTTATGTACCAGAACCCCGAGAAAAGGATCATAGTCGCTAACTAATTCCCCTACTATGTGCGTGTATGGATAACGAGCTTAATGTGATTGTGCTTGAATAAAAAGAGTGAAACAAAAACGAGAGATTTAGGTTGAGCTATAATGGCATGATTCAAATTTGTTTGAATAAAGGAGTCTTTGAACATTGTGTCGTTACGGTATCCTTGGTATTGAATACTTAGTACCTATAATACTAATATTAGCCTAGCAACCACATATAATTAGGAGTCGTGTCGTGCTCATGTTTTGAATCACTCTTAATTTTTTATTTTACCATGTTGGTTAATTGCTTGAGGACAAAAAATGGTTTAAGTATGTGGGAATTTGATAATGTGAAATTATATCGTATATTCGAACTTGATTCACATGTACTTTTATATTGTTTTTCATTCACTTTATCTTGTTATGTCGGTATTATTGTTTCATTTCAGGTATTTATATTTCACAAGGCTCACATAAGAAAAGAAGAATAAATGATAGAAAATGTGTGACTCTGTAGCAGAAAATAGAAGAAAATGCATCAGAGGACTGTGACGGTCGTAACAGCCTCCTGCCCATTGCTACATAATGAAAATATGTATACCCCTCAGCACACATGATATCCCGATCACCACGCTTTGAAAGTATGTGTTCCCCTCGGCACACGTGATGTTACGATCGGCACAAGTTGAAAATATGTGTGCCCCACAACATACATGTCATGCCACTCGTCACAGGCCAATTTCAGTGTTAAACACGAAGTTCTATCCACGTCTACGATGAATCTCCCATGATTTTGTCACTGACCATGATCTCCATTATCTCCATTATCTCCAATATCTCCACTATCTCCACCTTCTTCAACTTCCCATGATCTCCACTACCTCTCGCCTGCTAACTTTTGTTTTATTTCTATATATATATAGGATCTTAGAAATTAGTTTTGGACATCCAAGTTTATTGAATAAAGTATTATTGTTAGATTTCTAGGCAGAAAACTCAGCATGTAAAAGTGGTAGTTTCTCACATCGAGGAACTACCACACCATTAGTTTTAGGACTTTTATTTGTACACTTCGATCATAAGCTTGCTGGATTATTGAAGATTAATTTCATTTTTATTTCAAATTCTCTATTTCTCGCATTTACATGTTTTTTTAATCATATTTCTTATTATTATCATTATTATCATCATCATCATCATCATCATCATCATCATCATCATCATCATCATCATCATCATCATCATCATCATCATCATCATCATCATCATCATCATCATCATCACCATCACCATCATCACCATCACCATCACCATCACCATCATCATCGTCACCATCATCATCGTCATCATCATCATCGTCATCGTCATCATCATCATCATCATCATCATCATCATCATCATCATCATCATCATCATTATCATCATCATCATCATCATCATTGTCGTTCATCATTGTTAATATAATTACCATGTCGTTCTTAATTGCAATTGTTATGTTTAAGTCACTTTCATTTAACAATATGTCTAGCTAAATAGTTTTGAGTCCGGTATGTGAGGATCGTCGTTTTCGACGGGACTCGGTAACAATATTGGCTTAATTATTAATTTGAAATTTCTATTTTGGTCTTTGTTTTTAAACTTAATTTAATTGGCTTTGTCACGAGAGTGAGAAGTTACTTAACACGATTTTACCACGAGAGTGGGAAATTAACTAAGGTTCGAGCCGACACTGCGAGAGCATGGGGGTCGTACCGGGTAACAGAAACTAGACATTAATTCTAAACACAACAAGAGCGCTTTAGGATTAATTAGAACTTGTTTAGTTTTCAAAACACAATCCTTAATTAAAATGGGCGAGCGAGAGCAAAATCTCATGGTTAAGGAATGCGACTTTATTAAAAAATCACGAGTGTGAGTTTCAGTCTTTAAATTGATATTTTCTACTAAACACATTTTTAACATCAATATAAGCCAATGAGTTAGAGTCTCAGAGGTACGCGGAATACACATTCCAACCTATCTTTTCATATATATTTCCTTAATCTTATTTTATTTCAGTTTTAGTTCTTAGTTTCCCCTAAATTAATCATTTATTAACCTTATATTTACAAAGCGACAATAGTTTATAGTAGGTTGACATTGGTCTCTGTGGGTTCGAAAATCTTTTATATTACTTTGACATTTCCGTGCACTTGCGGACGCACCAATTTTTTGGTGCCGTTGTCGGGGACCAACAATCAATATTGTTATTTCTGTTGTTGCACCATACATACTAAGGAACTCTTACTTAATTACTATGTATCACCCAAATTTTTTCTACGACTCCCATTCTCATTATTTTGAGAAATCACAAGTATCCCATAAATCCGACTCGAAATACTGATGGAGGATTTCAATGCTTCACTAACTCACTCTTACCCAAATTACCTCTACAACTACCAATCCCAACATTTTGAGGAATTACAAGAATCTCATTAATCCGATCTTGAAGCATTAATTGAGGATTATAATGTGATGTTAACTTATCCTTAACCAAATTTCCTCTACAATCACCACACCCAATATTTCGATGAGTTGCAAGAATCCCAAAATTCCACTCTCGACACATTAATGGAGGATTTGACTGCGACACTAAATCGCTCTAGGCTAGAAACTATGATGATGGAGTGCTTTGTGAAAACACAAAATGCGATGCTAACTCACTTTGAGGAACCGCAGGAACCCCATAATTTCAATCTCACAACATCAATGGAGGATTTTGATGCGACGCTAATTCACTCTAGGCTAGAATCTACGACATAGCATTTTGTAGAGACACAAACTGTCCAAAATGAAGAGATAAGAAATCAAAATCTTCAAAATAATGAAACCCTTAGGCAGCTGAACAATGCAGTTGAGTCTCTCGTGACTCACAACACGGCCTTGATGACTCAAATCTCCTTGCTTGAACAAAAACCTCTAGGACCCTTCCTTGAGGAGCATGTAGATGTTGTAACAACCAGTAGTGAAAAACAAATCGAAAATCCTAAAGAGAGTGATAATGTGGTTGAAGAGAGTAATAATGAGGTTGAGAAGAGTTCTGGTGAGAAAAGAGTAGAGATTGAGAAAAATACACCGACGCCATCTGAAAGAGAGATCGTCGAAGAGGTAGAGAAAGAAATATCTATTGTTATTCCTCCTCCCTATAACCCACATATTTATTTTCTGCAAATTTTTGTGGAAGATAATGTAGATAACCAATCTAATAAGTATGTGGATAATATCCACACCAATTCACCTTTATCTGAGGCCTCTCATAAAAGGAGAAAATCTGAGGACCACGAAACTAGGGAAATCATTAGCATTAAGAAGGGAAGGTTAACATTCGATATGGGGATGAAATAACTAAGCCCAAATTTGAAAAGCTGATACTCGAGATAGATCCAGAACCACCACCACAAGTTCAAAAGAAGGAACCATCCCATAGAAGAAACAAAAGAAAAGGTGAGGGATATGTGAGGTGGCTTGATAAATGGCGATGGAAACCAAAGACGATTAAAAATTCGATCGAGGAGTCATTCTCGAGAGAATCACTGTGAGTACTGACACTCTTGAGTCGTCGAGCTACCGACTTTAAAAGAAGCGCTTCCTGGGAGGCAACCCACGAGTTTCAATTTAGTGATTTTTCTTTTGTTTGAGTTTGCAGAAAATATAGATATCAATCGCTTGGAACCTATCAGTTGCATGTAGGAAACTATCGAGGCGAGCATTGATCAGGTTCTTATTCCTTTTCCCACTTTTTACTGAAACATTGAGGACAATGTTTGGTTTGAGTGTGGGGAAGGAATTTTACCGCTTTCCATTTATCGCTTCTTATTTTCTAGTTTATTTCATGTTTTTAATTTTTTTATCTATTTCTAATATTTGGTCGAGTCATTGCATATGATGTCAAGTCTGTATGCCTGTTTTTCTATTGTTACTGAATTTCCCTGAATTTTTAAAATTTAGACCTCCAACAATAATTTTCTTATTGATGCATGACACACACACTCTGAAAGCATATAGGTTATCAGACTTAAGGTTGTGTTGGAGAGACTTAGGAAAGTTTCGATAAAATCGATACCGTTATGACACCCTAAACCCCCTTATTATGTGATATCAATTTGGGTACCCATTATACCGAGACCTTAGGCTCAAGTTTTCAAAGTAGCTCTTAAGTAGTTTATATTAGTAGTCGGCACCATCTTAAGCACAAACTACATAGGGAGTCGATGAATATATAATTGAATCACGATAAAAATATAACTATTGATAAATCAATCCTTCAGAAATATATGCAATTTTTTAAAAATGCTTTAATATTACTTTTGTTATATTTTTTTACGAACTATATCATTCTTGATAAAAATATTATTAATTGTGAAATCCTTCTAAAGTATTTTAAAATACTCATCTAAATCAATTTATAGTATAAATGCTTAGTTTTTCATGAACTCAATAGAAATTTTTAATGAACTTCTTCAAGAATTCAATCACAAATCTTTATATTAATAAAAATAATAATATTTGCAATCTTAAAGGGATGCATGATAAATTTTTTAGGAGCTACATAACAAACTCATTACTATTTTATAGGGATACTTGATAAATTCTTCAGAAACCATTACTACAAATAATATATTTCATAACAAGCTTTCACTTCACCCAATAAAAAATTGAGGTATAATATCAAGTTGCGTCATGTTTTACTTGTTTTAAAAAAACCACATGTTCCCTCAACTTTTAATATGACTGAGAAAAAAATAATTTATGACATGCTTCAAATCACAGCTAATATAGTTTATGTTCTTTTCTTTGAAAATGGAACCTTTCTTTTTATTTTATTTTTTATTTGTAATCTAAATGATATATCTCCCCAGTTTTCATAATAACCGAGAGATAAAATAATTAAATTTTATTGTAAAATCATTCATTAAACATATTTTATCCTATCCTAACTTATATGTAGTTGTCTCATACTCGTACACATCACTATTTGGGATGAATTTCAAGACAAAAAAAAATTCTTCAATGTTCTTCTATCTTAAACAAAATATTTTTCTGCCCTTGTAATCTATCTCACATAATGTGGTTGATGTTGTTATTTTATTTCTGGAATAACCTTCCTATATTGTCAATCAAAGAAAACAACATTTCTTTCATCGGTTGACAATATTGAGAAATCTATTCCTAAACATGTTATAAATTGCACACAAAAATGGTGACTGGTAAAAAATTGAAATGCAAACATGACATGTTACTTTCAATTCTTTATCGTTTGCCATTTTTGGCTTGAAACTTATTACCTCAGATTTTTTTTTTTTAAATCTAGGGGTTTACTTATTTTATTTTATTTTTCTATTTAACAAAGAAAATACTTTTCCCCTCGGTTTTTTAACAAAATCGAGGGGTTATGTTACATAACTACAACAACAAATATCTATCCTACATTCATAAAGGAACAACGCTCAAGTATTGTAAAGTCATCAATCCATAATAAACTATCTACATCCACCACTATATCTTGTTCTCTTTCTTGTGGAAGCATTTACCACGAAAATATTTTCACAAGATAATAAAATCTTGAACTTAAAGAAGGTTGAAAAAGTTCTTTATGATGGATTGCAAGTGTAACGCCCGTAATTTAATTAATTATTTAATTAAATTATTTTTGGAATATTTTGTGAAGATGTGTTGTGACTTAATTGGATTTATTAATTAAGTGGAGAAATAATATTAGAAGCATAATATTATTTGGTGTGGGCTTATTTTGAAGGAATAAAAGTAATAAGGGGATGTATTAGTTTGGATCCCAATAAGGAATAAAGAATAATAGGTTATTCTATTGTTGTTAGAAGGAATAGAAAGAAGAGGCAGTAGAAGAATAAGGATTGAGAAGAGAACGTGAAGCTGCTGGAAAAAGGAGGAAAAACGACAGAACAAGAATTCAACCCAGAAGTTGTAGAGCGACCTTCAATCCAAGGTAAGGGTGGGGTTATCACACTATAATTGGGTTCATGATGATTGGTATGTGGGGTTAGAGGTGATTGCTGTCTTGTTCTTGAATTGGAAGTATATGATTGTTGTATGATGAACAATTGATGAATTTTAGATGAATAATGATGTCCCGGTGTTGTTTAATCGATGTAGATTTATAGGATAATTGTAAGTGATGATTATCCATGATTAGATTAAGTTTTTAGGGCTTTAAGCATGAATCCCGTAGTGAAAATGCAGATAAAATCGCAGAATTTATGCAGGATGGAACAAGATGTGTCGACCTCAAACGTGATGTATCGATACATGAAGGTTGAAAGACTCAGGATGAGTCGACACGAAGAGGCTTGCGTCGATCCATGAGGATTTCCAGACTCAGGATGAGTCGATACGTAGGATGCATGTGTCGGTACATGTTGTGTGTAAGACTAAGGATGA